ACCCACCCAAAAAAAATTTAAGTTTGTTTTCAAAAAATATTTTTCAATTTCAAAAAAAAAATTATACTCTAGTAAAAATAAAAGATATTTCTCAAAAACATTTTTCATTCAAAAACCAAACACTAAAAATCTTTTTCGGAAAATATTTTGTACTCACCAACCAAACATGAGAAAATAAGTCAAAAATCTACTCCCTCCGTTCCATTTTATGTGAGGTACTTTGACTCAGCACGGAGTTTAAGAAATAAAGGAAGACTTTTAAAACTTGTGGTCCAAAATGAATGATAGAAATTTGTGTGGCTGTAAATCATTTCATTAAGGGTAAAATAGACATTTTATAGTCAAATTGTTATTTTATATAGAAATGTGTCATTCTTTTTGGGACTGATTAAAAAGGAAAGTAAGTCACATAAATTGAGACAGAGGGAGTACTTGTTTTCCAGGAAAACATTTTCCTTCATACCAAACACACCCAAGTAAAAAATTATCCATTGATTTCATAAAGTGGACAAGTATTGTTGGATATCCCAAAATAGTATAGTGAACAACTATTGTTCGACGGAGCTAGGGAGTAGTATATTTTATTGGAGTTGAAGGCAATGATTAATTACATCTATGCTTCTTGGACTCTCTATTTTTTCCTCATGATCAATTGTTCTTTGTATTTCATATACCCAAAACTTTGATTTTTTTATTTAATTATTATTATTTCCATTATTGGATTGTTGGAATTGTAGATGGATAAGAAGTATACAGCAGGAAGTGTATTCCTAGGAAGAGACAAATTTATGGTGAAAGTGAATTCAAATGTGGATCATGCCTTCATAGTTTCACTTATAGTTATCCTTGAAGAGATATCCAGCTCAGGACAAAGCAGCACTCATTCCTCAAAACACTAATGGATATCTAGCAATTCTTTTCCTTTGTTAATTGTTTAACTCATTTTTTTTAATTCATTTTTATATTGATATGAATAGGTTATTCCAGATTTTTTGTTGGTTGCTTCTTGTCACGAGTTGTAACCTTATTCATTACATTAAGTTAAATAATCACATGTCCTATACATATAAGGTGTTTTCGGTACGAAAGGAAAATGTTTTTTTCAAAAAAATAAATGAATTTCTTACTTATTTTCTAATGTTTGGTTAGTAAAAAAAAAATATTGTTCCACTATAAAAAAAGAAGAAGAGTTATTACGACGGTTATATTAGAGGATTTCATTGAACCGGCCACAAATATAACAAAATGCGACGTTTTTGATGCACGCCATATTAAATATTTCATTAGGGGCGGTTTGTACTTAAGAAACGACGGTTCCAACCGCCACTAATATTTTTAATTTTTTTCCAACGAATTTAATATTTTCTTAAAATATAAAGTATTAAATTTTCTTTTCCTTAATTAAAGAAAATTTTATACTCTTTCCTTCCTTTAAGAAATAAATCACTGCTTCTCTCTCTTTCTTAAATCAATTCCAAATTTCTTTTTCCTTTAATAAACTTTCTACCAAAATGAACATACCCAGGCCCAAGTTAAGAATTCAAACTCTCTGGCAAAAATATGAGCTCCGGTATTGCTATTTGGGAATCCCAAATCTCTCCCATAATTAGCCCCCACTGTTTCCCCAAATCAGCTCCCATTGTTCCCCCAAATTTCTTCAGTAATGAGCTCCTAATGTTCCCCAAATTTCTTTAGTAATCACACACTGAAGGAGATTGCTCTCAATATTCTCTTATCCGGTAAGCTCTCAATTTTTCTCCCAAGTTGGTTTCACTTTAAATCGTCAATCGATTCTAAGCTCGTTGTCTGTTGTTACGGCTCATGCATGTAGAGTTCAACCTTTTTGTTAGGATTTTCTTTCCTTTGTTATTTTTCTGTTTAACTCAGTTATCATATAAGTACTATATTACCATATATTAGAAGAGTCTAGGATTTACTACCATTGTTCCAATTAAATCATTACAAATGTCCAATACTTACTATATAAAATATATAAGTGGGCCCCACCTCCTTCCACTTAAATAATATTTTTCAACCTTATCATGGTAAAAGTTGAATTTATTATCCTTTTCATTTAATTTTATATGATATTATTTTTTCCTATAAAATCATTATATATGTTTTAATAATTTAAATTTCAAAAACATTATAATTTAACTTTAAAGATTTTATTTTATCAAAATCTTGTACATTGAAATATATAGTTATGAATTTAAAATATTTTTAAAATCATATAAAAATTTCAATAACTTCTCAAATTCCATAATATAACACTTAAATACTACATATTATATATTAATTACTATACTATAAATGACTTAAATACTCCATATTATCTATTACAATAATTAACAATTATTTGACACTTTAAATTCTATCAATGCCATATAAATTAGGATAAAAAACCTAACATATAATATTTAAATATATTTACAAATAATATAAGTAATACTATACATTATAATAATTAACAGCTTAATTATTTAAAACTTATATAAAAAATTTAATTAACTCTAAATTCTCTTGGTACCACATAAAATGGATTATATGATAAACATATATTGTTTGAAATTGACGAAAAAGAAACAATAAATCACAATAATTAATAAAAAAATAGTCCACTCCAAAAAATCTATCAATTAACAACATATATTGTTTGAAATTGACAGAAAAAAAAACTATAAATTACAATAATTAACAAAATAAATCTCTCCACTCGAACAAATCTATCAATTAATGCCACATAAATTGGGACATGGCAAATAACATATATTATTAAAAAATTAGGTTCAAAATGTACTATAAAATACAATAATTAACAACTTAATATATTAAAGAGACATATAAAAAATGGTTAATATTTGAAATTCTGCATGTGCCACATAAATTAGAACAAATAGAGTAATAAATATTACTTTCAAAATTATGTTAAAAAAAAGTACTACAAATCACAATAGCTAACAATTTAAAATATTTTTAAAATCATATAAAAATTTCAATAACTTCTCAAATTCCATAATATAACACTTAAATACTACATATTATATATTAATTACTATACTATAAATGACTTAAATACTCCATATTATCTATTACAATAATTAACAATTATTTGACACTTTAAATTCTATCAATGCCATATAAATTAGGATAAAAAACCTAACATATAATATTTAAATATATTTACAAATAATATAAGTAATACTATACATTACAATAATTAACAGCTTAATTATTTAAATATTTTTTTAATAATATATGTTATTTGCCATGTCCCAATTTATGTGGCATTAATTGATAGATTTGTTGGAGTCGAGAGATTTATTTTGTTAATTATTGTAATTTATAGTTTCTTTTTCGTCAATTTCAAACAATATATGTTTATCATATAATCCATTTTATGTGGTACCAATAGAATTTAGAGAGTCAATTAAATTTTTTATATAAGTTTTAAATAATTAAGCTGTTAATTATTGTAATGTATAGTATTACTTATATTATTTTTAAATATATTTAAATATTATATGTTAGGTTTTTTATCCTAATTTATATGGCATTGATAGAATTTAAAGTGTCAAATAATTGTTAATTATTGTAATAGATAATATGGAGTATTTAAGTCATTTATAGTATAGTATAATTAATATATAATATGTAGTATTTAAGTGTTATATTATGGAATTTGAGAAGTTATTGAAATTTTTATATGATTTTAAAAATATTTTAAATTGTTAGCTATTGTGATTTGTAGTACTTTTTTTTAACATAATTTTGAAAAAAATATTTATTACTCTGTTTGTTCTAATTTATGTGGCACACGCAGAATTTCAAATATTAACCATTTTTTATATGTCTCTTTAATATATTAAGTTGTTAATTATTGTATTTTATAGTACATTTTGAACCTAATTTTTTAATAATATATGTTATTTGCCATGTCCCAATTTATGTGGCATTAATTGATAGATTTGTTGGAGTCGAGAGATTTATTTTGTTAATTATTGTAATTTATAGTTTCTTTTTCGTCAATTTCAAACAATATATGTTTATCATATAATCCATTTTATGTGGTACCAATAGAATTTAGAGAGTCAATTAAATTTTTTATATAAGTTTTAAATAATTAAGCTGTTAATTATTGTAATGTATAGTATTACTTATATTATTTGTAAATATATTTAAATATTATATGTTAGGTTTTTTATCCTAATTTATATGGCATTGATAGAATTTAAAGTGTCAAATAATTGTTAATTATTGTAATAGATAATATGGAGTATTTAAGTCATTTATAGTATAGTATAATTAATATATAATATGTAGTATTTAAGTGTTATATTATGGAATTTGAGAAGTTATTGAAATTTTTATATGATTTTAAAAATATTTTAAATTGTTAGCTATTGTGATTTGTAGTACTTTTTTTTAACATAATTTTGAAAGTAATATTTATTACTCTATTTGTTCTAATTTATGTGGCACATGCAGAATTTCAAATATTAACCATTTTTTATATGTCTCTTTAATATATTAAGTTGTTAATTATTGTATTTTATAGTACATTTTGAACCTAATTTTTTAATAATATATGTTATTTGCCATGTCCCAATTTATGTGGCATTAATTGATAGATTTGTTGGAGTCGAGAGATTTATTTTGTTAATTATTGTAATTTATAGTTTCTTTTTCGTCAATTTCAAACAATATATGTTTATCATATAATCCATTTTATGTGGTACCAATAGAATTTAGAGAGTCAATTAAATTTTTTATATAAGTTTTAAATAATTAAGCTGTTAATTATTGTAATGTATAGTATTACTTATATTATTTGTAAATATATTTAAATATTATATGTTAGGTTTTTTATCCTAATTTATATGGCATTGATAGAATTTAAAGTGTCAAATAATTGTTAATTATTGTAATAGATAATATGGAGTATTTAAGTCATTTATAGTATAGTAATTAATATATAATATGTAGTATTTAAGTGTTATATTATGGAATTTGAGAAGTTATTGAAATTTTTATATGATTTTAAAAATATTTTAAATTGTTAGCTATTGTGATTTGTAGTACTTTTTTTTAACATAATTTTGAAAGTAATATTTATTACTCTATTTGTTCTAATTTATGTGGCACATGCAGAATTTCAAATATTAACCATTTTTTATATGTCTCTTTAATATATTAAGTTGTTAATTATTGTATTTTATAGTACATTTTGAACCTAATTTTTTAATAATATATGTTATTTGCCATGTCCCAATTTATGTGGCATTAATTGATAGATTTGTTGGAGTCGAGAGATTTATTTTGTTAATTATTGTAATTTATAGTTTCTTTTTCGTCAATTTCAAACAATATATGTTTATCATATAATCCATTTTATGTGGTACCAATAGAATTTAGAGAGTCAATTAAATTTTGTATATAAGTTTTAAATAATGAAGCTGTTAATTATTGTAATGTATAGTATTACTTATATTATTTGTAAATATATTTAAATATTATATGTTAGGTTTTTTATCCTAATTTATATGGCATTGATAGAATTTAAAGTGTCAAATAATTGTTAATTATTGTAATAGATAATATGGAGTATTTAAGTCATTTATAGTATAGTAATTAATATATAATATGTAGTATTTAAGTGTTATATTATGGAATTTGAGAAGTTATTGAAATTTTTATATGATTTTAAAAATATTTTAAATTGTTAGCTATTGTGATTTGTAGTACTTTTTTTTAACATAATTTTGAAAGTAATATTTATTACTCTATTTGTTCTAATTTATGTGGCACATGCAGAATTTCAAATATTAACCATTTTTTATATGTCTCTTTAATATATTAAGTTGTTAATTATTGTATTTTATAGTACATTTTGAACCTAATTTTTTAATAATATATGTTATTTGCCATGTCCCAATTTATGTGGCATTAATTGATAGATTTGTTGGAGTCGAGAGATTTATTTTGTTAATTATTGTAATTTATAGTTTCTTTTTCGTCAATTTCAAACAATATATGTTTATCATATAATCCATTTTATGTGGTACCAA